AGCGCAATGATGGTGCCAACTTGGGCCAGTGAAGCAATGTCCTCCACAACTAGACTGAAGAACAAAAGGACAGCAACTTGTCTGTTTCCGTTCCCCCAATTCCCCAATGCTGTTCCCATCCCCCCAATTCCCCAATAAAAATCTTAAAAAAAAAAAAAGGAAGACCCAGGCACACACAGACATGAACATACACAGTCATACACAGGTGCACAGGCTTTATATGCATAGCAAAAACCTATGGAATTTAGCAATTCTAAATGTGTTTATAGGCTAAGATTATGGGGAGGGGCTCCAACTTTAACATTGTATAGCTCTGTTTATTATTTAATTTTATAATCAGAAAAAATAAAGATGCAGCCAATTCTCATTATTCATGGATTCCATATTTGCAAATTTACCTACTCCTAAAACTTACTTGTAACCCCCAAGTCAATACTTGAGGTGCTTTCACAGTCATTTGTGGACATATGCATGCACAGAGTGTTGAACATTTAGTTGCCCCACATACATGTTCCCAGCTGAGTTTGAACAAGATGGCCTCTGCCCTCTCGTCTCAGCTCTCATGCTGTAAACAAGTATCATTTTCATGGTCTATTTAGTGTCATGTTTTTCTCATTTTTGTGTTTTTCTTACTGGTGATTTTGATATTTAAAATGGCCCCCGACTGTAGTGCTGAAGTGCTGTGTAGTGTTTCTAAGTGCAAGCGGCTGTGGTGTGCTTTAGGGAGAAAATATGTATGTTGGATAAGCTTCACTCAGGCATCAATTGTTGTGCTGTTGGCCACTAGTTCAAGGTTAATAAATCAACAGTATATATAAAGGAAGGTGTCTTTAAACAGAAACACACATAAAACAAGGTTGTGTATTGATTGGTTGGTGAAAATGTGGCCATAAGCTCACAGGAACCTAACCCTGTATTTCCTCAAGGGACAATGATTCAGTATAACTTTACAGAACAGAACTGTGAACAATGAGGTTCAACTGCATCTAAAATTATTGTATCTAACAGCCTCCACCTCTACAGGGTACCAACCCCCACGTCCCTTCCATCCAGGTAACATTGGCTCAGGCCTGCTGAAAGGGGAAGGGGCAAGAAAATGCAAACTGATTGAGCCTCCTGTGTGCCAGGCATCATGCTAGGTGCTTCATGCCCATTCTTCTGTTTAATCCTCACAAGAGGCATCCAGACTTGACGTTTTTCTTCCCCTTTGCAGATGAGGAAACTGCAGCTCAGAGGGGTGACATGACTTGCAAGCCAGAGCAAGGCTTTTCCACCCCAAGCTGCCGGAGAAGATTCCACAGTTGTGCAGCCTGGAGCTGGGTCAAATCTGTGCTCTTAGCTCCTCCATCCAGTGGTCTTTGTAAATGGTCCAGCTGGGCCCCCTTTCTCAGTCCCTCCCCCACCATTCCAAACCTTTGCCTGTCTCCTCAAGCACCATCGACAGACTTCTTTCTCAGTGGGGGATCTTGACTCCCACTCATGGAGAAAGCAGAGCCCCTGGGGCGGTCTTCTCAAATTCCAGTCCCCTTCAACCTCTCAACTTATCCATAGAAACACCTCAAGTCCTTTGTGAAATGAGGCCGAGTGTAAAATAAACACATGGATGAAGTCAATGCATTTATAACTTAATTCATCCTCACCCCCCTTTTGTCTAGTCTGAAGATGAAGTGTGTCTTCCCTTCAAAACTAATTCCTCCACCTGGGCTCTGGCCTAATCCCCGCAGGCCTCCTCTGGGACCCACTCCTTCAATGACCCCCCTCTCTATTTTGTATTTTTTGTCTCCTTCCTCAGCATTGGCTATTTTCCCTCAGCCTATAAACATGCTCAAGTTTCTCTGAAAACAGCGCGCCCTACAGTTCCCCCACCTGGAGCTACCACCTCATTTCTTGCCTTTCTCTAGCCCTGCCTTTTGAAAGAATTGTCTGCACACCCTCCCCTGCCTTTCATCAATCGCAGCAGCCTGGCTCTGCTCCCCACCACCCCACTGAACTCACTAATAATCTCCTAATTGCCAATTAAAGATAGCTGCTAATACACAGTTGCTGCTGCAGAAAAACAAAATGCAGAGAAACATTAACAGGAAATTTGAAATATTCATGATTCCACCACCTAGAAAGAACTATTGTTAACACTTGGTTTATATCCTTATAGACCTTTTTCACACACACACACACACACACACACACACACACACACACAAAGAGGGAAAAGAGGAAGGAGAGAGGGAGAAGGAGGAGGGGAGAGGAGAGAGGTTTTCTAAAAATAGAAATGAGTTCACTTTCTAAATCATTGCTTCTCAAAACGTGGTCCCTGAACCACATGTGTCTTAGCATAGGTTCTTCCAAGGCCTGACCTTGAGATAAGGACTGGAGTGAAAATAGTTTATTTGGGAAGTATAAGTAAAACTACTAGGGAAGTGGGAAAGTGCCACAGGGAAGGGGAGACAGCCCCATAAGGCCCCATTATTAAGCCAGCTAGCACAGAAGGCAACTGAAGATTTCTCCTGCAGGGAAGCTCTAGGAAATAGCACAAAACACGCCTCAGCATGATCCCACCCAAAGGGCAAGGGAGCTGGGCATGTCTACACCATCTTTGTGTGTTGCGGTTGCTCCCCCACACTTGTGACCTGTGATGTGTGCGGTCATCTTTCTGCAGTTCCGGGGGAAAGACCCCTCAGCCATGTTGCTTGCAGATGCTGGCGGTTGGAAGTCTTGGGCACACACTGACAGGCCTAAGGGATAAAGGCAGGGCTATGACAGCATTTGTTACAGTCCACCCCTTACAGCTGCTCAGATCAACTTGCACACCACCTTAAGTTCCGTGTCCTGCCACCGCTTCCTCAAGGTGGTGGTCAGTCACAATTTATGTTTAAAAAGAAGAAGGCATAGGAGGGGGAGGGGAGCAAGCTACACACTCCACTGCTGAGGCTGATCCTGAGCCTGATGACACTCACTGCCCTTCTCTACCATCCATTCTAGATGCTCCTCACCTGGGCCAGCAGGAGTCACTCCCCTGCCAGTTCAGGACCTCCTTTCCCTGCCTGCTGGTCTCCTGGCATGAGGAGCTCAGAATTGTCAGGGGGCAGATATCATTTTAGTTTTAGTGAAACCATTCCTGTGTCCTCTGGTAAAAACGTTCCCCGCCCCTACCCCCTGGGAGCTAGGACCTCTAGCCCAGCAGAGCCGAAGGCTTTGGGGATAGAAAGCATGGACTTATCAATTGAGTCTTTGGGAATAAAGGGGAGAAGGGCCACTTCCTTGGTTTTCAGGCCTGTGTATTCTACATTACATGTGATACAGGGCACATGTAATGACTGTTGGCTCAAGGTATATAAATGTATCTTAAGGACAACACTTCGACAGAAACGGCTCCCGCTAGTAAAAACATTACAAAGTATGAGAAGAGAAAGGCCTCTAAGAGATAAAGTCGGAAACTTGGATATTTCACATGCTGTGTTAGTTGTGTCCTTCAGGAAGTCAATGTGGGGATGCAGCTAGGGGTGCAAGGGGCTTATTGAGGGGTAACACCTGTGAAAGATAAAAGTGGAGGAAGCAAGACTGGGCA